CACAACAATGAGGACGCTGTGATTTGGGGGGGGGGGATGAGGGGATGGGGGGTTAGGGTCCCGGGTTTAGAATTTCGGATTCAGGATGTTTGAAAAAGGGCTTAGGGACAGGCTGTTAGGCTGATACTGAGGTCGGTCCTAAACCCTAAACCCTACCTAGGGTCCCAGGGTCAGGGTCAGGGTTTAGGGTGTAGGGTTTTCCTAACTTAGAGAGTGACAGTGAATGGTTGCAAGGAGCTCACCACTGTCGTCAACAATGGCCGTCGCGACTGTGTGCGGAGTGAAGGCACGGTCCTGGACCCTCAACCTTGGACCACCCCTAAATCCCTAAACTTACCCTGGCCCTAAGCTCTAGAAGCCGCTAGCTGAAAAACCTAAACATTAAAAGGCCCTAAGCCGCTAAGCCGTCAAGTGTCAAGCCAAGTTGAACGCTTGTGTACTGTTCATCGCTCCCTTGCTCAGGGAGATACAAATTCCCGAAGTATGATTTGCAGCAATTTGAGATGGAGGAAAACTTTATCGAAACCTACGACCACGGGGAATTCATTGAATTGGAGACGTTCTTGAAAGAACGGGAGATCACTGGCTTGACGACGTTCGAGGAGAAGTGCGAGTGCGTTTCCAAGGACCGCCCCAACCGCAACCACCACAACCGCCACAACCACCACAAAACCCTAAACCCTAAACCCTAAACCCTAAACCCTAAACCCTAAACCCTAAACCCTAAACCCTAAACCCTAAACCCTAAACCCCAAACCCTAAACCCTAAACCCTAAACCCTAAACCCTAAACCCTATGCGCGCGCAGTGCGGGTGGCGAAACCCTAAACCCTGAACCCTAAACCCTAACCCCTAAACCCTAAACCCTAAACCCTAAACTCTAAACCCTACGATTCGACAATTGAATTGGAGTTCTTGCCTTGCACGTGTTGGCAGGAGTTCAACGCGGAAGTGACCTTCCGAAAAGGCACTTACGGAGTGCTGGTGCTTGACAAGAAGGAAGGTCACCAGAAGGTCAAGGTGGGAGTGCGCAGTGCTGCCGGCAAGAGGAAGGCCGGGACACCAGATTCTGATTGGGGACGGGCTTGTAGTCATCATGAGTCAGGAGTCATGATTCATCGAGTCATCGTGTGCGCCCCCTACTACTGCTTACTTACTGACGACTTACTACTTCCTACTAGTGTGAATTGTCGTGAGTGTGAATCGCGCTTGTGCGGTGGTTTGTGTATACCCCCCCCTAGAAATAGGGTTTTGGGGGGGGGTGTCACCTCAGGGCCCACCTAAAAAAAATAGGTGGCAAACCTATTTTCGTCAATGTCCCCACCCTAACTAAAAATAGGGCTGAGAGAGCGTGAGCATTGTGAGCCATGCAAAGCGTGCGGAGCGTTACAGCGTGTTAGAGTGGTCCACCCCCCCCCCCCCCC